GCCAATAGCCAATAGCCAATAGCCAATAGCCAATAGCCAATAGCCAATAGCCAATAGCCAATAGCCAATAGCCAATAGCCAATAGCCAATAGCCAATAGCCAATAGCCAATAGCCAATAGCCAATAGCCAATAGCCAATATAATTGTATAGTTCAATTCTTCAAGTGGATATGATTTTGATTCTGAAATCTCAATAGCCAATAGTTTTTAGTTCAATTCTTCAAGTGGATATGATTGTGATTCTCAATAGCCAATAATTTTTAGTCAATTTTTCAAGTGGATATGATTGTGATTCTCAATTCTCAATAGCCAATAGAAGGCCTCATATGTATTATTGAATTCTAATTCACTTTTTTGTGGGATCTAAGCACCAATAAAAAAAAAGATGACGGTCGGTTCTTGAAGGGCTACTTTAAGGTTGTCGTGTGCCCTTTGTGGAAATCCGCCACCGATCGAATATGAATTCAGTATAATAGTAGTGTTTCTGAATTGGTTATATTTATAGAGAAAATATGATTGTTATACTTCTGTTAAGTGGGTAGCATACATAAGAAACAGTTTTGCCCATTTTTTATTACATTGAAACTATTTTTAGTTTTATTAATTATTGATTAATTCTGATAGTATAATTTTCATTTTTTATATTAAATTGCCTTCATCATTAGCCAGAATATGAATTATTAAGAATTGGACTTAATTATTATTTTTTTATAATATGATTTATATAAATCTCATTGGCCCTATTTCTACCCCTTTTCGGGTTTATCCACAATTTTTGTTGGTTTTTGGGAATCGTTTTGGGATATGATTTTGATTCTCAAATCTCAATAGCCAATAGTTTTTGTTTCAATTCTTCAAGTGGATATGAATGTGATTCTCAATTCTCAAAAAAAAAACAATTACATAAATGTAGTCTTTTATTACGCAACATTTGCCAAGTAACTTGCATTAATAGAAATAAAATATAATTTAAATGTAATAGTTCATTGTATTGGATATTGGATGTAGAGGGTAGTTTACAAAATACGTATTGTTCTGCTTAAAGTAAAATTTTATTTTTTTAAAGTTTCAATGTTACATACATAATATGTGTCATAGTAAATTATTTGCTTTACAAACTGCATTATAAATAGTTATTTAAAAAGAATAGAGGGAGGAGGGACAACGCTACGGATTATTCGGTAACTAAATAATAATAATACTTCAATTTTTTTTTTCTCTTGCGACAAAATTAGCATTTTTTTCATTGGATTATTTTCTGTTTTCGCTGCTCAATTATTTTACTATACTTCCTTATATATATAAATTAAGTTGAACACCATGAGGGCAGAGTGTTGTTGTTTTTTTTTTGCAGCTATGTACATTAATTAATACTTGTATCCACCGTTCGGAGCGTACTTTTGGCCTGGGATTTGGTTCTGCGATGGTCCGCTCGGTCTCGATGGGAAAGAAGGTTTCGATGGTCCGCTTGGGAACGATGGATAGCCTGGAGATGGACCGCTCGGGAAAGAGGGCTTCGATGGAACACTGGGGAAGCTAGGGGATGGTCTCGACGGTGCTGGGTAACTTGGAGATGGTCTAGAAGGTACTGGTCTTGACGGTGCTGGGTAACTAGGAGATGGTCTTGACGGTGCTGGATAACTAGGAGATGGTCTAGAAGGTGCTGGATAACTTGGAGATGGCCTCGACGGTGCTGGGTAACTTGGAGCGGGTCTGGCTGGTCCGGTTGGGCGTCCAGGAGTGTAATTGGGTGTACCTTCGTATTTCACCTGAAGAAGCAATGAATTAATATCAAATCAAAAAATGTTTCGCGAGTGAAATTGAATACCTGAGCGTGGAATCCGCTCTTCCAGTCGGCTGTGTACTTGACAATCTGAGTCCTTCCGTCGGGTAATTGAATCCTGTATTCGCCTTTCGTCACGTCTCCGTCGCTCACAGCATTGTGGGAATAGTCGTTTCCGAATTGCGGTTCCTTGACTGCGTAATTGAAATCGAACGGCATTCCTGGTTCGTGGTGATGATGATGTTCATGACTCTAAAACATTTTCAAACATTATTTTCTTAGTCTCTTCTAAACAAATGTCTGTAAACAATAACAAGTTAGAATTAATTAGTTAAATAATGAAAATTCTCGTCTTCTCTGAAAATTCATTAAGAAACCATCACAAATATTTTAAAACATATCAACTTTTAAACATTATTGTAAATATTTAGCTACAACTTTTATATTATCAATCAAAATTACTACTAAAATTGTCGTGCAAAATTGTTTCATTTTATTAGTATTCACGTGCGATTCCAGATCACATATTTCTTGAAATTGTACTTTATTATTTTCATAATTTCTTTACGACTATTTTTAAATTGTTATATTATATAATTACATTGTGTCAAATATATATTTTTTATATAACCAAATTTTGACAACCTGAAATTGTTATGAAAATCGTACAGTAAGCTACGGTTGTCATGGAAACTAACCGGTTATAATAATCATCATTTTGTAATATTATATAATTATTTAACAAATTACAACGAAAGTATCGCGTGTGATGTGAATATATTCCTTAATGTTATTTAAGATTATCTTACTTATTTTTCTTTGCTAAATAACTTATGATTTTTTTTTATTAAAAAATAAGTTCAATGATCTGACATATGTCACCAACTTAATTAATTTTAGTTGCCAATAGTTGCAAGTGTTTGTTGATATTGTATAAGTTGCATAAGTTACTTACACCATCACGGAAATACGTTTCTATAAATCTAATTTGTTTAATGAAAACATGTAAGTATATTGTTCAAGGAATGTATTACGAAAATGAATAGAACTAGGTGTTCTGGCATACGTAACTAACTTAATGATTTTTTTGTCACTATAATCAGTTTTTCTTTAGTGTTTGCTGGTTTGACACATCAAATGCGATGAGCTCGTACCATTATGGAAATACCTTTCTATAAACCTAAATTTAACTGAAAGAAACATGGAATTATGTTAAATTGCGTATCCGGAAAATTGTTCTAAAACAATTTGTTCGAATGGAATTTTTTTGTAAAAAAACTATTCCTTCAGACATTTCTTTTTTTGCTTTGTTAAAAAATTTAACATTTAACATATCAAATGCTTTATTATCCATATCCACTTCATTATTTTAATGAGACGTTGCAAATTAATTTCGCCTAAACTTTGATTCTTTGGAAAACTTATAATATAAGTAAAATATTATAATCTTAAAATCTTTTTCCATTTGAACAAATTTTCTTTCGAAAAAAATTCATTTAGAACAAATTTTCTTTCGATCAAATTTCCTTTCAAACATAT